GCAGAGGTGAAAAAATAAACAGATAAGGCTACAGAGAAAATAATCTTTCATGTAAAAAGAGAAATGACAATTGAAATGAAGGACATGCTTAATGAAGCTAGAGTAGACATAGATAAAAAAGTAGAAGAGCTTAGAAAAATGATGGAAACCATGAATTCCCAACACAGGAAAGAAATTGAATCCATTAAACAGATTCACACAGATATCTGGAAATTAAAAACTCCACAGAAAGTATTTGTAATCATTTGAATCAAAGTGAGGATAGAATTTCAGATCTAGAAGACAGAACTGTGGTTACTGACAATGAAAAGAAAGATTTCATAAAAATAGCAAGAGACCATGAAAAATAAATCCAACGACTGCAAAATGATGCAAAGAGAAATAATATAAGATTGATTGGAGTCAATGAGAATACTGGTGATAATGCAAATGCTATGCAAAAGCTGTTCTAAGAAGTAGTGGCAGAAAACTTCCCAAACTTGAAAAAAGAATGTAACATACAAATAAATGAGGTATATAGAACTTCAAATAGCTATGACCAGAATAAATCCATATCAAGGCACATAATAATCAAGATTCCAGAAATTCAGCATGAAAACAGAATATTAAGAGCTGCTGGAGAAAAGAAACAAATCACATACAAAGGAAAGCCCATCAGAATCACAGCAGACGTCTCAATACAAACCCCTAATTAAGGCAAGGAGAGCCTGAAGTGAAGTATTTCAAGCCCTAAAAGCAAACAACCTTCAACCCAGATTGATGTACCCTGCAAAACTATCTTTCAAAATCAACAGGAAAAAAATACTTTCATGACAAAGAAAAACTGAAGAAATTCACAACCAACAAACCAGCTTTACAAAGTATTCTGAGGGGCATTTTAGAAAGAGATAATGGAAAATCACAATTCTAAGAACACCAATAAAAGGAAGCCATCCGGCAGGGCAAGCAATTAAACAGGAATGAGAAGAAACCAAGAGCAGGAAAACAATATGACAAGGATAACCCAATACATATCAGCTATAACCATCAATGTAAATGGTTTCAATTTACCAATCAAAAGAAACAAACTGGCAGAATGGATTAAGAAACAATGCTGTTACAAGAAACATTTAACTCAAAAAGAAATTTATAGACTCAAAGTAAAATGATGGAAAACAATGTTCCATGTAAAAGGAACCTAGATAATAGCAGAGGTAGTTATTCTATTTGCAGACAATGTGAACCACAAAACCCCATAAACACATGGAAATTAAATAACACTCCTGAGTAACCAATGGGGTCACAGATGAAATTAAAGGAGAAATTAATCTATCTACCATTAAATCATAATATCAAAACAACATATTGCAACTTATGGGATGCAACAAAAGCAGTCTTAAGAGGGAATTTATAGCAGTGAATTCTCACATCAGGAAAACATCATGAGCTAAAATCAATAACCTAATGTTGAACCTCAAGCTTCTAGAAAAAGAAGAACAAGTCATGCCCAAAGCTCATACGAGAGAGGAAGTTATAAGGATCAGAGCAGAAAAGAATGCAATTGAGACAAAGAAAAAATACAAAGAATCAATGAAGAGTTGGTTCTTTGAAAGATTAAATAAAATTAATAAACTCTTAGCCAACTTTATCAAAAAAGTAAAGAAAAGACTCAAATTTATGCAATAAGGAATGAAAAGGCTAAAATCACAACAGATCCTGTGGAAATCTAGATGGTCATCAAACCTACTTCGAAAACATATACTCTAATAAAATGGAAAACATAGAAGAAATGGACAGATTCCTAGATACATATAAATTACCAAAGATGAAACAAGAAGATATTAAATTCTAAATAACCCAATATCAGCCATAAAAATTGAAAATGTAATTAAAAACTTATCAACAAATAAAAGTCCAGGTCCTGATGGTTTCACTGCTGAATTTTGCAAGAAACTTAGAGATCTAATGCCAGTTCTCCTCACACTCTTTAATGAAATAGAAAGAGAAGCAGGGCTGGGAATTTAGCTCAGTGGTGCTGCTGCCTGCCTTGCAAGCACAAAGTCTGGAGAGCTGGATCCCTGGAACAAAAAACAAAAACAAAAAAACAAAAAAGAAAAAAAGAGAAGCAATACTACCAAAATCATTCCTAGAAGCAAGTATTATCCTGATACCAAAACCAGAGAAGATCCCAACCAAAAAAGAACTACAGGCCAATCTCCCTAATGAACATAGATGCAAAAATCCTCAATAAGATACTGGCAAACAGAATGCAGGAAATCATCAGCAGGATTATACACCATGATCAAGTAGGATTCATACAAGGCATGCAGAGATGGTTCTTGGGCAGGAAGAACCAATATAGTGAAAATTGCCAAACTTCCAAAATTATTATACAGAATTAATGCAATCCCGATCAAAATTCCAACAGCATATATCATAAGATTAGAGAAAACAATCCAAAAATTCATTTGGAACTAGAAGACACCTAAAACAGCAAAGGCAATTCCAGGCAACAAAGGCAAGGCAGGGGGCATCACAATCCCTGACTTGAAATTATACTACAGAGCTACTGTGATTAAAAACAGCATGGTACTGGCAAAAAAGAGACCTGAAGATCAATGGAACAGACTTGAAGATATGGAAGTAACCCCAAACACACTCAGCCAGCTTATCTTCAACAAAGGGGCCAAATATGTTCACTGGAAGAAGAATAGCCTCTTTAATAAGTAGTGCTGGAAAAACTGGTTTTCTATATGCTGAAGACTAAAACTAGACCCATGTCTCTCACCATGCACTAAACTAAAATCAAAATAGATCACAGATCTAAATATTAAAACAGAAACTCTAAATCTGCTGGAAGAGAGAATAGGGAAAACCCTTGAGGACATAGGGGTAGATGAAGACTTCATGAACAAAACTTAGACCGCATGGGAAATAATACAAAGAATCAACAGCTGGGATCTCATCCTATTAAAAAGCTTTTGCACTGCAAAAGAAATCACCAACAGAGCAAAGAGATAACCCACAAGGTGGGAAAAAAATTCTAGCCAGTTGTCCCTCAAACAAAGGACTAATATCTAGAACATACAAAGAATTGAAAAAGATCAGACACCCAAATTTAAAGACCCAATCCAAAAGTGGGCATGTGAAATGAACAGACACTTCTCAAGTAAAGAAATAACAAGTAGCAAACAAGTATATAAAAAATGTTCAACATCACTGGACACTAGAGAGATGCAAATTAAAACAACACTGAGATACCATCTCGCTCCACAAAGAATGGCTAATATAAAGGAATCAACCAACAACAAATGTTGGTGGGGCTGCCGGGAAAAAGGAACCCTTCTCCATTGTTGGTGGGAGTGTAGACTGGTGTAACCACGCTGGAAATCAATGTGGAGATTCCTCAACAAACTAGAATTAAAGGTCCTATTGATCTACCTATCCCTCCTCTAGATATCTTCCCCAAAGAATTAAAAGCATCATATCACAGCAATATATACACACCCATGTTAATAGTGGCGCAGTTTGTAAGAGCTAAATCTTGGAAACAATCCAAATGCCCATCAACTGATGAATGGATGAAGAAATTATACAATGGAGTATTACTCAGTCATTAAGAACAAACATGAGACACTTATAGCTAAATGGATGCACCTTGAATCTATATTCTTAGGTGAAATAAATTGGACACATGTGTAAATATCACATTGTCTCTCTGATGTAAGAAACTGAAAATGTAAATAGGGACCAAAATATATAACAGACAATGTGAAATAAGAAAAAATTGTTCAAAAGAAAGGGGGAACTAGAGAGGGGAAGGAGGAAAAGAAGGAAGGAAAAAGAAAAAAATGAGAAAAGAAGGAAAAAAATGGAAATGGAACTTTTGTAATTAATGACGGGGAAGAGGAGTTGAAGGGAGCTAAGGGGAATGAGAAAAAAAAAAGAAATCAAGACACATCATGTACAGGTACAAATACCAATGATGAATGTGATCATTGTGTAAATCCAAGTTGTACAAATAAAATTAAAATAAAAAAGAAATACTATACAAGTAAGAAGAAAAATGAACACAGGATCTAAGAGGAGTAAGGTGTTGGGATTGAAGAAAGCTACTAGTTCATCAGAACCTGTTGATATATTTGTGCACATGTGAAGTGGAGAAGAGTCAAGGGAAGACAAGCTTAGGTAAGATGAGGAAGAGCAAGAAAATAGAATAGAGAGCAGAGAAGGTTAATAAAAGAGAAGATAGGAGTAACTGAGAGAAAGGAGAAAATAATGAACAAGAAACTTGAAAAGAAGAATTTAAAAAGTGGAAGAAAAGTAAAAAATTAGAAAATAATAGTGCTATGGAAGCTTCAGTTGAAGAAATGAAACAGACTAGAAGAAAGAGAGAAGATAAACAACTAAGTCAAAGCCCCCTCAGAGCCAGGGATTAAGCTCAGTGGTTCTGCTGCCTGTCTCACAAGCACAAGGTCCTGAGTTTGATCCCCAATACTGCAAAAAAAAAAAAAAAAAGCCCCCTCCCCAATCTGGTAGGAACTCTTTATCAAATATCCCAACATGAGAATGTACGTGGGATTTCCATGTTTTTGCTGTGCCACAAAAGCCTGAGTGTTCACACAATTCCCTTCTGGCCTTAGTTGCAGACTGATTGCAGGCAGACACACCAATTTCTCCTTTTTCCCTTGCACTAAAAAGCTGAACTTAGGGCTGAGGATTTAGCTCAGTGGTTCCACCACCTTGCAAACACAAGGTCCTGAGTTCGATCCCTGGTACCAAAAAAAAAAAAAAAAAAAAAGCTGAACTAACCCAGTCTCAAGAATTCTCTCCTTTAGCCAGCAAGCACAATCTGATGCAAGCTTGGGTGTGGTTTAGGGACTGTTGTCTCCTAGGTGTGATTGTGGTGTCCACCAGTGAGTTTGTGTGCTGGCATGGGGTCCATAAGAATTGGCTGGCCAGGGTGCACACTGGTGGCAATCTGTTTACTTTTTTATTCTTTCTTTTCTTTTCTGTTTCAGGGTGTAAGTGCTTCCTCTCTGCAGAGTACCTGTGACTTCAGTGAATCCTCTCCAAGCACCTCTGATGTTACTCTTCCTCTAGTCGGCAATGTTGGATCTGTAGAATTCATTTGTCACCATTGTGTGGCTTGAGAGTCTCTCAGCATCCTTCCCATGTGGCCTACAGTTGGTAGAAGTCACAGAACAAGGCTGTATAGCTAGTCCAAGGCTCTCAGCAACGCATTGTCCCAGCTTTTGTACCAAAAGGAGAAAATTACAGGGGCTGAGATGTATTGCTTTGTGCTCTGACATATCTGTTGGCTGGTGGTAGGGGAAAACTGTTGTAAAGTAGCTTCACGGAGGATGACTTTTGGTGGCATTGTACAACTTAGAACAGGGTTGTGAGACAAATCTGGATGCTATGAGGTGGAGAGGGTCTGAATGAAGCAGAAGGCAGTGAGAATGTAGAAATATGAAAAAACCCAAGCTTGAAAGTATGAAAAAACTTTTTCTCATAAAAAGTGTCACAGAATATATCGAATGAGGCATATAGGGGTGCTCAAACCTAGTTTAAGAATTTTTTGTGTCTACTAATACTTTGTACATTTCTTCAAAACTCCTGAACCCAATTGGCCTACAGACCCCTGGGATGTGATGGAGATCCAAGATTAAGGGCCCCCTCTGGACCAGCTCCAAGGATTTCTAACAAGTGTGATACAAGATGGGCACTGGGTCAGCTCTGCAAGGCCCCTCCCAGATGGGCAAAGCACTCTGGTATGCGAGCTGGGGAAGACTGATGCTAGAGGCAGGAAAGATGGACACAAGTGGGGAAGGAACCCAGATACTGCCAGAGGAGGATTTACATGAAGCTAATGAAGCTCAAATTTTAGGGCCTCTCATTTGAATAGGTGTTTTCCAAGGTCTTGCTTTTAATTATCTCTATATGATTTTGTTTTCATAAAAAGGTTTCCCTAATTATGTGAGCCCCATGGCTGCCCAGATCCTGGATCTTACCTCAGTCACCTATACAGTAACTCCCTGCTGCTCTCATGCCTCATAATAGGTTTTCATCATCTCACTATTTTATGGCATCCTTTATTGCTACTGAGAAATCAGCTACTGGTTTAACTAAGACTTCCAGTTTACAGAACTCCAGGGGCTGCCATTTGCACTCTTGTCTAAGTAATCGGGAGTCCTCTGAGTTTGTGCAGTGTATATGTGCCTTTCCTTTACTGCATTTTAGATTTTTATCTTTGACGGTATTAAGTTTTATGATGGGTATGTAGGTATGAGTTTCTTTTTCTTTTCTTTTTTTTTTTTAATGTGGGACCTATTGGGCTTCATCAGCAGCAAATCAACCCATTCCACCAATTCTGGGGAATTCTTAGGCAAATCTTCAAATATTACTTCTGCCTTATACTTAAGAACTGATTAGGTAGATGTCAGGCCTTCTTTTTCTATCTTCTTTGTTTCTTAATCTCTTCCCACCACCCTCCATTTTAGAGCAGCAGTTGGGAAACTAATGTCCATGATGCAAATCTGTCCCACTGCCTGCTTTTGTCAATAGAGTTCTACTGGAATACAGCCATTCCTCTTTAGACATTGTCGGTGACTGCTTTCAAGCTATAGTGAAACAGAATTGAGTAGTAGAGACAGACACTTTTAATCTCATAAACCTAAAATATGAACTATATGACCTTTACAGAATAACTCTGCTGCCTTTTTGGAGACAATTTATCTTCCAGTTCACAAATTCTCTCTTCATCTGTTTTTACTGTGCTATTAAAATTGTTCACTTGTTCATTTTGGTTATTGTATTTTTATTTCAAATGGACTCCTACAAATCTAGAAGGTCATTTTTTATAGTTTCCTGTTTCTGATAATATTTTCAAACATTTCCTTTGTGTATTTAAAGATAAATTCAATACTTTAGAAACATACACACATTCTGGTATGTCTAGTACCTGAAGTCTTTACAGGTCTAATTTTGAAATCTGTTTTTCTGTGTGTGTTTTTTCTACTTATTTTCATTTTATTATTTTAACTTTGTACAGTTCATTATTTTTTTAAAACTATCTGTTGAAGTGTTTGAAATCTGAAATACAAATATGTTTCTGCAAAGTGGATTTATTTTTGTTCTGCCTGGTGTCTAAATCAAATTCTTTCAGAGCTATGGATCACCAAGGCTGCAAATCCATGTCAGGGCTGGTAAGAGGCCACAAGGTCTTTCGAAATTTTTTACTTTATTTTTCCTGCTGCTAAAAATATTAGTACTGGGTTGGAGAAATTCTCCACTACACTGTGTATAGTTCTTTTCATCACTGAGTTTCTATCACTCAGCACAGTGCTTGGCCTAATACTTTAAGAATGAGTTAATGATCAGAATCTGTTGATTGGGCTTTCTAAATATTCATAGTTCTCAAATTTGTCTCTTCATTTCCTTCCCATGCTCATGGTCCTGGTCAGGTCCTTATCACATGTTTATCTGGATTGTTATAAGTTTACTTCCCAATTTAGTAGTCCTCAGTTAAGAGCATATTTCAGAATTTCTTTGCTATGTCAGAAAAAATGTATATTTTCAAAAATCAAGAATGAATTGAGGAAATCTCTAGTTTAAAATATTCCACAGATGATTCTAATATGTGCCTTCAGTGAAAGACATTCTATGTCAGCTTGTCTTCAGTCTTGTCCCTCTTAAATTCACTTTCCATGTTCCATTAGAGTTCATCTAATATGCAAATCTGATGACTTTACTCTCCTACAAAAACCTTACAGTGGCACTCTGTTGCCTATAGGATAAAATCCAACCCCTTTAGCACTGTTTGCACAGCCCTCCATTCTGACTTGTGCTCTGTGCTTTGGTGGCACTGAATTTTTTGCATTCCTTCCTCACACACTGTCTTGTCACCATGTCTTGCTTTTGCTGAAGTTATTCTCTATCCCTCAAGTCCCTGTTCTTTCTTTACTGGCTTTCTCCTTCCTGCCTTCTATGACCCAGTTCAGCTCTAGGAAGCCTCTCTGGAAGGCTGGATTTAGTGTTATTACTCCTTGGTATTCTGCTTCATCAATTCTGAGACCAATTCTGTTATATAGAAAAATATAACTTTCCACCAGAGTGTGGGTTCCTCAAGGGACTTAAGTCACTCATCTTTGTTAGTCTCACAAAGGGCTCAGAGTATAGGAAACTCAAACTATAAATAAAGAGCAAAATAAAAGATAGACAATAGGAAGTAAGGAGATAAATTTTTCTTGAATGGGAAGGAGATGAAGGAATAGAGGGAGAAGAGGGGAAAGGAGGAAAAGAGGATTAAAAAAGGAATTAAGATGTGTTATATACATGTACCAACTCTATACAAGGAATGTGAACATTATGTACTGCAAAAATATACTAATAAAAATTAAAAAGAGTATGAGATATATTTATTGCCAAAAATACACACTTATTATATATTTATTGAACTGAGGTGCCTAGGTTTGCCCTTTAAAATTACGTGTCTTAAGTATTTGCAAACAATGGGCAATAATATCTCTGGGGCCCTTGAATTTCATAAGACTTGTGATCATGTGCTTCAAGTAAATTGAGTTGTTTCCAGTTATATTAGGGAGAAAGGAGATGAAATATGGGGGTTAAAATAAATCCTACCTAAAATAGAAAACAGAATGAGTTTTCAAATGGAGAGTGAGAAGTATTAAGAGCTAAACATGCAATCCCATGAGTGGGTACTGGGTAAAAGTTATTCTCCCTGTATAGGCTAAGGGAGGTTCATTCTATCTTTGGAAGTTGGGGTTACTTTTTCATCCTTTAGTCCTGCCTGACAGCTTTCCCAAGCCTCCCAGGCAAATAATGAATAGCAAATCTTCCCTCCCAAAAGAATTAGTGGTGTAGAAGCAAGCAAGCATGACAGGCTTGTATGCAGATTTCCTAAAACAGAGAAAAAGTAGAAGATGGGATAATGGAAGTATAGAGCCCCCTCCAGTATGAATCTGGGCATCACTTAATTTCCCAATCTCCTTCAGTCCCTGTTAATTTAGCCTTCCCCAAATAATAAACAGGGTCAAGTTTTCTGAAATTTTACTGGGAAGGACCAGAATCATCAGAGCTAGTGATACTATAATTGGCTTCTAAATTATTATAGGGAGCATCTCATTCAGAAGATCGGGCTACAACCTCATGTTGGTTCCCAGAATGCATGTCACTCTGACTTTCTCTTTGGTTTACATCACTTCTATCTTTTTAATCCAGATCAACATCAGACACATGATTCTTGGGATAGAACAAAATTCAAAATCTGGTATCATGCATCAGCAGATATTTATTAAATGTTAATTGATAAGATTAATGATTATGAAAAGGAGAAAAATATGTTTTTTGGCACTGTCCCTAGTAGATGTAATCTTCACCCTCTGCTAGAAAGCAGCAACAGTAATAATCCAAGAAGTCCCAGAGAGAAAACAAAGAGATGGCAGCAAGAACATCTCATGCAGGAAGCTTCGAACTAGAGGGATCAGAGTGAGGACAGCTGGCATAGTATTCCACTCCCTCCGTGCAACCTGCTGCCCTTTGAGAGAGATGACAGCTGGACGTCAGCATGAAAACCACGGCAGGATCAGTTTGCCAGTAGAAGGAAGGGGAGGGGAGAAAGAGCATGCTTGGCAAAAAACCATCTGACACACTGAAGAATAAGCAAAGGCTTCTATGCACAAAGCTGCTCTTCTACAGATTCCCTTTTCTTCCTGGAAACTGCTGTACATGGTGCTGAAAAAGAAGTCTCCCTTCTAATGTGACCCATCACTTTAGATCAATGTACTGAGAGGTGAGGCTCATTGCCATAGAGAAGTGAGTGGAGGGAAGATTTGATAACAGAGAATCTAGGTTTAAGAGAATATGTTATTTCTTCCCGGGTATGTGATCTTAGATAAGACACTTAACTCTCTGGGAGTTTAGCTTTCTTAAACTCCAGAGAATGATAAGACTAAAATATAGATATTAGAGGCACACATACATATATGTATCATTTATGAGAATTAATTGAGCTAATGTATGTGGGCATGTATTTTGCCTCTAGATGATCACAAGGTTTAGGGCAGTCTGCCTAGAGTGGGCTGAGGAGAAGAAAGAGCAGATAGAGCTGCTCATGAATAAAGCTGCTGCCAAACCCCCTCCCCCTCTGGAAAAGCACACAAATAAATCCAGATTTATGCAGACATGTGTCAGGGTCTGCATTCATTAGCCAATTTAAATAATTTTATATCTTAAAATAATTATGTCATTTGCTGTACTGTTTTCCAACACATAGGAGGTCTAAAGCAAAATGCCCTGAAGACAACCACATGCAATCGTTGCATTTATTTTACATCTTTAATGAATCCTCCTGTTCCCAGAGCTCTGCTTCCATTCCTGGGCAGCCTGGGTTCTGGTTTGCATTCCTTCATGACTACAGAGGGCAGTCTGCCCCTTTTCCTATCTGCACATGCATTTTCACTTCAGCAGAGGACAGGGGATTTGGAAAAATATCTTCTCAAAACAACTGGAAATATAATAAAATAGGAATATGTGATTTTTCTCTGAATCCAAGCAAGGAGTACTCTTAAATTCTACAGATGCCTGAAGTGTTTTGTTATAAACATAAGTGGTTTATATCTACTTTTGCCCTGCTACTCCTTGCAATGGATTTAGGGACTGAGGGTAACATTCCTCCCCTGGATTCATAGTTCCTGTTCTGTTCTTCATATTCAAAAAACAATACTAGATGGACAAGAAGGGACCCTGGCTTCATCTAGATTGAATAATACCACTCTCAAAGCAGCCCCAGGGTAAAAGTGATTGAATGAAGACTGAACATAAGCACCACTGGTATAGAACTTGTCAACAAATAGGGAACATATAACATGCTTACAGGGTGTAGGACTGTGCCACCTAATCTTATTTAGGCTCTAACTGTTTGAAGAGTGTACCAGATATATCAAATTTGAGTTTTTAAATAAATGTTGCCAGGCCAGGAAGGGAAGTATTATTCTTAACAGTGGGCCACAAAGTCCACAGGATACAGCTGCTGCCATTTTACACTGTTCATTCTACCCATTCTGCTTTTTATATTTTATCCATAACTGACTATCTTTCTGTTTCTCAAAGACATCACTCTATTCTGTCTCAGGGCCTTTGCATTGACTATTCTCTCGGTGGAATATTCTTCCCTTGGGTTTTAAAAGGTTATCTCCTCACCATACAGCTGTCAACTGAAAAGCTTTCTAATCAAAGAAACCTTCTGTGGCCACCTTACCTTTATCCCAATGCTTGCTTCTCTATTACCTGTTTACTATCTTTGAAGGTCTTATTCTCTGGACTCAATACCTTTATTTGTTTGTTCATTGCCTCTATTTTCCTGTAGAATGAAGAGCTATGGGGAAAGGGGTATTATCTAGCTCACCACTATGTTCCCAGCATCTAGAATAGTTCCTGGTATAGAGTAGATGCTAACAATCTATTCAGGGTGTCCATTTCAGTTTAGCCAATGAAGAAATCAAGACCACAAAAATTATGTGACTGGCTGGATTCCAACTTGGTACAACTGGGGCATCTGTTAATTTTTAGACCTGTAGTTTTCTCTGTAGGCAAGGAAGTTCACTTGCTTTCTGTTAGATAACCAGAATTTACACAAGACCCTGTGGCACCACACTGGAGTCCAAGATTCCTTGTCTTCAGAGATGGGTAACATGCATCAGATCAACCAGAGGTGGGAATGGACAGTTACCAGGTTGAGTTGTACTTGTGCAAGAATTTAACTGAGGGCTCAGTAGCACCAGTCCACCTTATTTTCCTGGGTTTGGGTCCCCTTTGAAGTACACTGATTTTAGAAGCAGCCTGGAGGGATGGAAACAGACCTAATCTGTTGTGGTCCTGATCATGCCATTTACTGCTGCTGGGTGATCACTAGCCTATTGATCTGTCTCTGAAATAGAGATAATTTAGGGTTTAACATGGCTGCCCTGAGTGGAATGAACCTGAACACATAAAGTACCCAACTCAGGGCTAGGAACACAGGACAAAGTTAATGAATGCTTTGACATTTCTCTTTGTCCAATTTTTGCCTGAAGACTTCCTTTAGAACATGAGCTGAGTTTTTCTCTTCCTTGTTTTGGCCCTGTCTCTGCTTCTCTCTGTCTCAAGTTTTCCATGTACCTACAAAACTGCTTTGTGATAAGCACAAGTGGTTCATTGATACTTGGCAATTAACTAATAACAACAGAAAGAAAGAAGTAAATCTCTAGGGTGATAAAATGTTTATACTAAGTATTCTGTGTGCTGCAGTAGAGTTGGCAATATGATATTGGGGAAAAAGGGACTAAACAACATGACTGCCTATGTGAAAGCTGTGAGTACAGAGTTCTGGGCATCACCAACATGAGTCTCATGAACAGAGACTGCCAATCAGCACAGCCTCATGACTCCATCATCAGGTCAAGGTGAGAGAGGAACGCTGAGTGTGCTTAAGAGGCAAAGGAAGAGACATCGGGAGTGTGAATCCCAGTGCTCCAAGTCAGGTTTTACAGACAAGTTTTTTCTTCAGATTCTCTCACATACCCTAGGCCTTTTAAGTATGGCATATTTGGGATATTTATTATAGTAGAGTGCTGGAATTCAAGAAAGAATAAAAGAGGTCCCATTTAAGAAAATAATATGTTCTACCACTATAAAAAATAAGCCTGATAATGTTAACATGGAGCAAACTTAGTAGATGTAATGGGTGGAGGTGAACTCTACCTAGAGGGTTCCAGCTAGCTGTGAGAATGCCTGCTTTCTCATAGCATTACAGAGAGAGTTATTATAGGAAGTGTTTGTTAAACTCTAAGTCATTCTGAGAATATCAGGTATTTTTATAATGATGATTTGGTTGTGAGGAGGGCTGGCACAGGGAAGATGTCAGAACTATACAGTCTGCTCTTCAAATGCTTGGCCCTGCATTGGTTTACAGCTCTCAGAGCTCAGTTACTTACTCAGCTGTGAATAAACCTGAGATGCAACAGCTCAGCTCCATTCCCTCCCTGTTCTCCTCCTCTCCTTGAAAATATCAACAGGGGATTGGATGAAAACAAACCATGCAGCAAAAATGTGCTGAAGAGGAAAGAGGCTTGTTGTACACTTGGAAATTGCCTCTAAGCAGTACTTCTTGGAGGTAAAGCAGTTAAAAAACATCTGTGTATCAAATATGCAGAATCAAACAGCAGATGAGAGACTCTGGTGAGCATTGATATAAGGCC